AAATACCCCTGGAGATTATGTAACATGTAAGGAGTATTTCCTTGTGCTTTAGCTTCCCTCAAATAGATATCTTTAAAATGTGTTTTTATACTTATAACATCTGTCAGTTTTGTATCTGCTATTGACGAGTGCGTTCTGTGAAATGATTGTGCTTTGATAAATGTTCAGTAGATTGAATTTTGTACTGTCATCTTAGAATGAGGAATGCTTACTGAAATGACAAACAGTTGAATGCTATCTGAATGTCTGACAGCTTGATAAAACTGAAGTCATCTCTGGTTCTTGTCTGGACTCATCATGGCTTTTTTTTTAATTTATAAAAAGTACAGTATTTTGGAACCTGTCCCTCTGGGTTGTGTTTTGCACTGTTTCCTTGAGATAAACGCATGTTGTCTGTGAAGAAATTCCTCATGCAGCAGAAAAGACTCATGCTTTGATAAACAGGCGGAATTTGCTGAGCAGTTTACTGTTGTTTTGTTTCTGGGAACTGGAAAGAAGACTGTTTGGTATGATGATAGATACCCAGAAATACATTCCTGCAGTTCACAGCAATATGTATCTCAAGCCTGTGATCCTGTTAGTTTGTAGAGGCAGGTAAGTCATATCTGTGGAGAGGATTACACAGGAGATGTAATACAGGAAGGGTAAGGTGATATTCTCCATCACAGAACTGAGGGGCAGGCTCAGGATTTGAGGACAATGTCAGCCTAAATCTCCCAGAGTCTAAGGAATGTAAGTGCCCTTGAGATACTGGAATATTTCCCATTACCTATCAGTTTATTACTTGTCTGACAAATCCAAAAGAGTGGGTAGGGCAGCTGTTAATGTTCTTTCTAGCCACTCTGAGTGTTATAGACACCTTTGTGAACAAGGGATACTGGCAATTTCAAAAGCCAAACAAAAAGTTGAGAAAGCAAATTATTGGCAGAGAAAAGTCACTTCCAGTCTTCACAGGCCACTTAAACTTTGTAAGAAAGATAGTATCTTCACTGATTTTTTTTTTAACCATTATGTCTTGACAATGATGCGGTTCTGACCTTGACAAGAACCCAAAGTAAGCAAAGGATTATTACTGAGCCATTTTTACTCTTATAGCACTAACTTCATCAAAATCATCTGAGTTTTGCTTCCCTCACATACTTCAGACTCATCGTTGAAGGTAAGCAGCGTGTGACCTCTTGCAAACTTCTACAAGTAGAGAAAGCAGCTAGCTCTTCTGAGATAAGCGATTGCAGTTCAGTTTTGCTTAGAACAACTGAGCAGAGGGGAAGGAGAGGGGCTTTTACCTTTCTTGCCTTTACCTTTCTTGCCATATCTGCTCAGCAGAACAGGACTGGTTTAGGAACTAGGACCCCTCAGTGCGGAAGATAACACTGACACGTCAAAGGATTTATTTCATGTCTGTTTACAAGTGGGATCCTGAGCCAGGATCCATACCTGTTTCCCATTTGGGTTCAGAGGTGCTGAAAAGCTAAGTTTAAGGAGGTAGCACTACTCAAAATCACTTTTAGGTGTGTATGAGAGCTTGGTGTACCAGCCAAAGCCTTACCCTTCCCCTCTGTCTCTTTACACTTAGTATTTACTCTGGCATTCCCTTTCCTATATTAAATATCTGAATATGCTTTCTCCTTAGAATTAGAATAAATCTGATTGCGTGTTCATTGTGGCTAATGCCTTTCTTGGCCTCCTTTGTAGGAAGAGGGGCTGACTCAGGAGAATGGCTCTGGCCAGTGTAGCCTGCTACTTTGTGGGTACAAAAACAGCAGCTGGTGGCCAAACTTGAAGAGATGGCAACTGTGAAGAAAATGGAGCCACTCTGGAAGCTGGCTGGGTATGAAAGGTGTGCTGTGAAGTGTATAGCTTTCAGGAAGAGAGAGCATTGCAGCAGTGGCTGTATCCTTTGAGGGGTTGGTAGTCTTGAGTGTGAAAGTATTTCCTGAAGATCTAAACGTGGACTGTCATCTTCCCAGGCTGAAATGGCAGTGGGAAGAAATGCTGTGTGCAGGTGAAATCAGCATCTCTAATTTCTTCTTGTAAATTTCCAATTCCAGGCGCCAAGAGCTTTCTCCACCTGCGGCTACCTTTTGGTGCAGGTGGCTGCCTGTCCTCCACAGTAACTGTTTGCATTGCACTACAAACTGACGGCTAGAACAACAAACAAATGAAACAATCCTTTTGGAGCAGGCCAAACCAAATTCTGCTGTTTCTTGCCTTGAGTGTTGCGTTTATTGAGCCCTGTAACTTAGAATGCTTGCTAAGAAGGTGGTTTTAAGTCTTTGCTTGTGTCCTGCAGGAAGTTTAAGCTTTTCTCTTACTGCATTTTCTCCATCCCATACTGCTGTTTCAGACAGTGTGGGAAATACTGCACAAATGAGGATTTGGCTCTCCCATGTCTTTACTCTGGCCTACTCTGACCAATGCTTGTACCACAGTGCTGTTAAGACAAGAAAGACCCACAAAGAGGAATTACATATATCAGTGGGCACAACCAGGCTTGATTCTAGACTTAGTTGTTGTTAGACTTAATTGAATCTTTCAGTATTTGGATTCTTAACTTTCAAATTCTGATTTAGATGTTTATCTGCCTGCTTTATAGTTTGTCCAACCTTCAACAGTGGAAAGAGATCCAAACAAAGTAGCATTCACTGCTTGCTTTTGCTTACTCTGGCATTTCCCACAGCAGATAATTCTTTCAGCAGAGCAGCAGACCTCCATGTCTCCCGTTTCAGTGGCTTCAATGCTCTCCTGTCTCCTAAATGCCCACCTACTCTCTTCTCAGCTCCTGCTGCTGTCTGTCTGGTGTTGCTCTAGGCCAGTGCCACGTTCCTGGAACAGGGGTCCCATTTGGGACATTCAGGCTATGCTGCTCACTGTTCAAGTGAAGGAGATGATGACAGCTCACAGAAAGGCACTGCAGGCCTGTAAACAACGAAAGGTGTTCTTCCATCCCCTACGTTCTTATTTCATAAGATGAAGTAGTTCTTATTTCATAAGATGAAGTAGTTCTTATTTCATAAGATGAAGTAGTTCTTATTTCATAAGATGAAGTAGTTCTTATTTCATAAGATGAAGTAGTTCTTATTTCATAAGATGAAGTGATACATTTGCCTCGAGTAAAAATGCAAAGCCAAAGATAATGTATGATAGACTATGGCTGCAAAGCACTGTTTTGTAGCACATAAAAGGCTTTTAGCATTTCAGTTATCATGTACAGATGCACTGGGTCAGGTTCTGCAATGGTTACAAACAACTCACCCAAATTACCTATTCTGCCTGTGCATAGCAGCATTCACTCATATTCACACAACACAGAGCAACTATTTTGCTGAACTCATGGGTCTTTGGCATGATTACACCCAGCAGACAGCTCCCATGACTTTCTACTAGCAATGAAAATGCCATTGGGAAAGACAAGAAATACTGCAGGTGGTCAAAATGAACGTTTATTGCTGACAGTATAAAATATGTTTCCAAGTGACTTTTAAATCAGAGGAAGAAACTAATCTCCCTGTAGAGCTTTTGCTGGGACTGCAATGCTATCTGTGCAGTGACCACAGGCAAGAAAACCCCAGCCTTCAGAAAACCGTCCTGTGCTAAAATGGGGTTAGCCCAAATTAAGTTACTTCTATGCGTCTGTTTTGCAGTTGAGTGAAGAAGCTGAGCTACAGATCAAGCTCCATTAACACGAGACTCATTTAAGTGTTATCCTTTTCTTACCAACCTGGACATTTTTCTCGCAGTAAGTATCTGTCTCCAAACTAGGTGCTAAGATACATACAACAAGCCCGTACTTTTTTGCTATGCTAACTATATATTTCCAGCTCTTCATTCTCTACTATATTTTCAGATTTAAAAATACAGTGTTTTTCTGACACAAAATGCATTTCATGAATGAAATGAAACTTGTACAGCCCTTACCATGTGCAGAACTGTGAATCTTGGCAAGCATATGTCTACAAGCTTTTATTCTGATTTCTCTTCCTAGAGGTGGATGAATGGAATGAGAAGTATATGAAATAACATACTTTTTAACAATTACCACATACCATACGTGTACCAATACCACAAACCATTGAGATGAGTTATAGTGGTATTCCTCACAGTTAATTTCAGCAGCTTACAGTACAGATGCCTCCACCCGAGGCAGACATCTGAACTTACTTTAGAGCTGAGGGTGAGGTGCTTAATCAGGCCTTGGGGCCCTGATGATCCTGACCATCCTTGGCTGTGCTCTTCATCCTCAATAAAGCTGAGCTGGGAGCCCTATTGTTCCTTCTTTGAGCTCCATCAGAGTGCTGGCTCTCAGCTCAACTGCTTGGGACTGTAGGTGCAGATCATCCCAGTGTATGGACCAACTTCTTGGCTTGACCATGATCCATTGCAGAAGTTATGCATCCATGGAGGTGCATGGCAATTAGGGTTGAAAAGGAATTTAAAGATTATCTAGTCTAATCCCATCCATGGGGAGGGAGTAGAGACAGCTGCTCCAGATCAGGCCACCCAGGGCCCCATACATACTAGTATGTATGTACCATCTCCAGGGATGGGGCACCTGCAGCTGTTCTGGGCAGCCTGTGCCCTGAAGAGACCAGCAATGGACATGTCACTTGGTTTAAGAGAACTGTCTGCTTCTATGGAGAGAAGGAGGAACTCCTTGATTTGTTCACTATGGCAGGGAAAGCTTATTTCCCTGTGCGTTGCTCAATGAAAAAAAAAAAAAAACAAACCACATGCCACTCACGAATGGAGGAAAAGTGGTATTGGCATCTTTTGTCAGTAAATAAATACACTATTGCTGTGAAGGTAAGGCTGCTTGACTGACATCATTGTCAAAGGAGGAGCACAGCCTGCTGCTTCCTGTATAAATGTCAGCTCTGCAGGAAGACTCCAAAGCTGCTGGGCTGCTGTGCTGTGCTGTGTGCAGCAGAAGCCACCATGAAGCTGACTGCTGTTTTTCTGCTGGTTGCCCTGGCATCTTACAGCTGCTCTCGTAAGTATGATTTCCATCAGTTTCTGCTTTCAACCTGGGAAACAGTTAAACATGAAGCACTATTTCTCCTCTGCAACCGTCCTAAAACCAGGAGTCTGAACAGATTTTGTGTTTTTGGTGTCTGAGTTGCTGTGGGCTGATAGCTGCAGTCTGGCAGCGATGGGTTCCTTCAGGTGAGCTCTAATTGTTGACATGGATGAGTTCTCCAGCCATGAAGGTACACAGCTTTTCTGGTTAGTCTCACTTATACCTGGACTCTTATTTTCATGTGTCTACCAGGAAGTGATCACCCTGAAGAAACATATTTCAACCAATTACATTGGGTCTAAAGACACAGCTGTTGGAAACTGCACAACGTCCTTTGGCTCTAACTGTCACTGATTGCTGTCTGTTCTCATGTTTTTCCTTTTCAGCATCTGCTGCTTGCAATGTTCTGCGTCAGTTTGTGCTGTCAGCTCTCTTTGATCCTTTGGATCAATACCTGGAGTTCATTGAGCCCTATGTGGGGTCTTCTCCTTCGGTCAGAACTGCTGCCACTCAGCTGAAGTTGTGTGCAGAGGATCACTCAGAAGAGTTGAAGGAGGCAAAAGTAGAGTTGATGGTAATTTGATTCTTTCTGACCATGGTTTTGTTCATTTATTTTTCTTGGAGCTAGACCTAAATACTAGTCTAATGAGGACAAAAGTAATTTTGAATGTACACCTTCATTTCCATCCTTCTCTCTTGAGATGTCAGCATCATAATTGATTTGAAAGGGCTGTAGAAGACCTTCACTGTCCCAGCTGAAAGCTGGAAAGGGTGAAGTTCCTCTAGCAGCCTTCCACTCCCAACTGTTGAGTGCATGCTGGAGAAACCAAGCCCTGCTGGTTGGGGCTGAGAAACTTCCCTACCTGGCATTGTGCCCAGAAGGGGGACATTTTGGAGGAGATTTAGGGCAGTAGACCTTAGAGATGCAAGGGAAGAAGGCAGTTGAAGTGAAACTTGTGATGATTCCAATGAAACAGGATGGGGAACTGCATTTTCCCTACCTATTTTTACCTTGTGCTATGCCTGCATACACTGTTCTTACTCTTTTATAGGATAACTTGCTAAAACACTGTGAAGAACAGGAGTGATTCCAAGACCCTCCTTTGTGATGACTCCAAATGCTGACTGACCCTGAACTTCCACCTTCCCATTTTTCTCCATTTCTTGGACATGAACTTTCACACGCTAACAGAATAGAGCCAACTGTGTTATCTAGGATCTGCAACCCTATCTTCAAACCATTTAGGTTTCTCACAAGAATAAAATAAAAACAGTTACAGTCTTTGCTGATCAGTTTTCTTTATCAAATGATATGATGATTGGCTTTGGGTCATCCTTACTAGGATTTGCTTCTCTCAAATAGGTATTCACATTTACAGCTGTCATTGAGATGATGTGGTATTGCAAAATATTGCAGAAAGTTCCCAATGAAATGTTAAGCCTGGGAGAACCACTGAGATAAATTTAGTCCAATCCACCTTCTTGAGAAAATCCAGACAAATAAATAGGATGACTCCATGGCAAATTCAGCACCCCTGTGTACAAACGTGGATAGGACAAGAAGCTTCAACCAAGCAACATTATCAGCTGTTCTCCATCTATGCTCTGTTGTACAGCTATGTGAAAAAAAACTGATTTAGCACCAATATGTTTTGGAAGCTGTTAAACCAACTTGTTGACTGAGGTATGGGAATAATGAAATTTTGTTGAGGTTTCCCTACGAGGAAGGAATAGAAAGAAGCCTAGCAACCCTAACTAGCTGCCAGCTAGCAGAACTAGGTCTGTAACTCAATAATTAGCTGGCTCTGCTGACTGTTGCTTCAGCTGGCCAATAGTCCTTTAATTTTTACCTCAAGAGTGTGCTTCACTTGTTTTTAACGTAAGATAGGCAAGGTGATATTATCCCAAAGTTAATCAGCAAATCTGATTCAGCTGCCAGTTCAGATGGAAGCGATCTCATGCCTTAATGGTGAAGGTGTATGTTTGACTGTAGAGCACCTGAAAAGCTGTGTAGGAGAAACTATAAAAAATGTGCTTCCTTGGTTTGTAGCCATTTTCACTCGTGTGTATCAGCTTTCTCCTTTTAATATGTGTATTGCCAGACTGCAGACTGTGGTGCACATTAAGCCAAGACACTACGAGAAGGGATGCTACAGAATAGAAGTAAATGATAATAATAAAATAGTTACGCAAGGGAAGTGGCAGCGTGCATGACGCCATATCAGAGGGCTGGCATTTGAGCTCAAGAAGTGCCTCAAATGAAACGAGTAGATGAAGTGTATTGGATGCTGACATTGCAGAGAACAACCCCGTGCTGCGCTTCCAAAGCCATACATCTCACATGTAATGTCAGCGTGAACTCTCACTGACAGAGCACCATGTTCACTGCTCCAAGACCAACGGCAGCAATTAATGAATGCAGAGGTCACCCACATTTTTCTTCTATCCACTTCACAATCATGGCCTGGATCCAATCTTAGCACAGCTGCATGACCTGTTGGGACCATTCCCCACATATATACCCCAGGTTTTTGCACTAAGCTATAAAGGTAGCTCTCTGGCATTCACAGCTTAATGCACGATGTACAAGAAAATGGCTCTCACTGCCATGAAGCTGACTACTACTGTGCTCCTCATCACCATGCTTTGCTGCAGCTCACTTGGTAAGTTTTGCCAATTAAAAATATTGGGTGGGTTCACAATGTGATGTGTGTGCTCTGCAATGTGATGGCCAGTATTTGAACACTCACACTGGGCTCTCCTTTGAACAGATGGATTGATCCAGAATCAACAACAGTATACCTGCACTAGATTAGATGCTTTGTCCCGCTGGTTCTAGAGACCAGATCAGATGTGGGGACTCAACATTAGGCAAAACAAACCCAATACAACTTTGTTTTTAATGATGGGTAACCATTACCTCTATTGTTACCTCTAGGCTTAGTTCCTTGACACAAGGGTACAGAATTTGATGCCTAATAACTGATGCCAAAGTGTCAGACAACAGAAAACAAATGTGGGGAAAAAAGCAAATTTGGGAGGTAAAAATGCAAATGGAAACAGATAATCCAATTCAGTGTGAGGTGGTGTTGGCTGGAGTAACAGCCTACTTAATCCTTCTGAGGTCATTAAGCAAAAGCTTAATAATGTGGAATTGGAATAAGAGAAAGAGCAGGCTAACCAGGAATGTGATGTACGTTGATATAACAGCCTAAGTTATTACATCAGCTAAAGAACCTAACGACGGCAGGTAAAGAATATGGATTTTAATTAATGCAATTCTCACATTAAATCTCATAAATTAACAGAAATGATAACAAAAGAAAGGGAAAACCCCCAAGGAATTTACTAGAAGGGTGACAACTTAAAATACTGATGATTATTTTTTTTTTAATCAAAGCTCAATAACTTAATAAAGGCAGCTTATACGGAGAGATACAGAAAGGAGATCAGATGGTATGAGCAGCCCTGCAATGAGGTTTTGGAATAACAGTATGGCAACCTTAAAAGCAAAATCAGGCTTTACAGGTAGCTGTGTAGTACCAACATCAGAATGCTACAAGATTTGGACCTCAAGGAAGGAGAGATTAAGAGAGTAGAACATTTTCAGTTTATTTTCATCTAAAAATGCTGACAGCTTCAGAGGGAGGATGGAAAAATGATTATTACAGGTAGGGTTTGATATTCATGGAGAAGCTGAATGTGTACAAGTGAAAGTTTTGTTATATTCCCGTTTGTATTTCATACTCCAGGTGCTGGATCTTCTCATGAAGTTGTCCCTAGCCTTCTTCAGACACTTCTTGAAGGCTCTGTAGAACAGCTGTACACTGGGCCAATTTCTCGGTACAATGTTGATGAGATGACTTCTGCTGCTTTGGCTGAGCTAAAGACATGTATTGATAAGCTTTCTCCTGAGCATTTAAAGGCCCTTGTCAGTCTGCTGGTAATTAATTCTTTTTATTATTCTCACAAATAATAAACATTTATAACCGTGCAGCTTTGTGCCAGGTTCTGGACAAAGAGCATCCAGATATTTTAACTTAAGCATTCCTTAACTAAAGTTGAGGCAGTGGGGAAGAAGAGCTGTCAGCAAACGAGTTTGTAATCATGCAAATGCAATTTAAGACAGGTGTGGCAGACGTTTTATTAACTGCAGAACCACTTTGGTTGGAAAAGACCTCTGAGATCATCTAGTCCAACCCCAAACCATCACCACCATGCCACCAAACCATGTCCCTCAGTGCCACATCCACACAGTTGTTGAACACCTACAGGGACGATGACTGCACCACCTCCCTGGGCAGCCTGCTGCAATGTCTCATCATTCTTACTGAGAAGAAATTTTTCATAATAGCCAACCCAAATGATGATCACAGCAAGAATGTTTGGGCATGTCTCCACATTCCCTGCCCAGTGGTTGCAGAGACTTTAACGTTAAAGCCAGAAGTGCATTCTTAGGATGAATGAACTCCAGAGAATCGTTTATGAAACCCAGTCCCCATTCCCAGGTGGGATGGACCCCTCAAGCATCTTGTTAACAGCCACAGCTGACGCTACGGTGGGGCCTGTAGGAGTGGCATGCCCACTGTTGTCTTAGCTAGAAAGTGAGAGGTAGAAATAATCAGATCAGTAGCTTTGGTCAAAAGGAACGTTTGCTTGGATACACCTTCAATCAGACCTCTAGAATATTCAATATTTGCAATGTTATTAAAATTAATAACTCTCCTCTTGTGCAATTTTGTGGAGACACCAACTTCCCCCATGGAAGAAGCACTTTGCTTCATGCAGGTGTGTTTGTAGGAACAGAGCCAGGATGAAAAAGAAAACTTACAGATAATGGCCAGCAAGACTCCAGCCTGCCACATTTGGTCTTTGTTAGTGTTTGCCCACGATCTCAGGGTGTGTATTGAGCACCCATGGGTGTGAGACCAAGCCTTTTCCTCACAAAAGTCCTGCCAGAGGTTATGAGTTCAATGCATAGCTCACATAAATTTGGCTTTTTTTCTATGGTTGCATACTATGGTTGCATATTTTTAAGGATTTGTACATGTTTTTATGTTATTTTTTTGAAGTGAGTATGCTACATTCACTGCTCTTTCTGTTTCAGAAACAAATCCGAACAGAAGCTTAAACCACCAAATATTTGATCCACTTGCTGATAACACTCCCACAGCTTGCAGTTGCTCATGTCCAAAGCCTGTGGGAAAGTAACAAATACATATAACAAAATGGAGAGAACCAGAATGGTGGCAATTCCTCAACTCTGTGCGCTGACTACAGAACCCAGTCACCTTCCAGTGTATTTTAGATCTTATTTCTTTAGAGGTAAAATCCAAGCTGTAAATAAAATTCAGACAGTGTTTTAAAATGATCTCTCTCTTCTGTTTTAATAAATAAAGGTTGGTTTGGGTTTGTTTTTTTTTTTTTCCTCCTTTCTGCTGTTAGGGCAAGATGCCATTTGTTTCAATAAGGAATAAATAACAGAATTACTGTATAGAGTTATTATACATTATACAGCACACATAGACAAGTCCTCAAGTGAAGCTCTTTGAAGTCCAAGTTGCTGATGTCTTGCTGAAGGATCACAGCTGGCCTTTCTGAAGACAAGTGGTGCTACTTGAATCCAGATCTCTGCCAGCTTGGCCAGTTACTATAACAAAATATGGCTCTAGTAATAGAAACTAAGAGCAGATGAGAGAACTGCCTACAAACAAACACTGAATTTCAGTATACAGCCTATACAGTCTATCATTTTTGCTGCTAGTGATGAGTTGAACAAGTACCCCAGCTCAGAAAAAGTGAAGGATGTGTCTGTGTATTTCTTGGTCCACCAAGGAATCAGTCAAATACAATTCTTTCCGTATCAATAAAACTGAATGCAATTCTGCCTATTTGAGGAATATGAAAAATAGTTTTGCTCTGCTGTGCACCAGAAATAAATGTTTCTTCTTTGAAATCAAAAGCAAAAACATGAATGTGAACAATTCAGAGAAAAGGAAGAGATAAAAGGTACAGTTTCAAAAATACTGATATGTCTTAAGAATTGGTAATTGGGTCACACAGAACTTGCATTCATTGGAAAATTCACAACATGATCTGTGCACTCTTTCAGTCCACTTCAGTGTTCTCCACACTCCTCATCCATTTCTAGCAGGGAGAGATCATTTTGCCACCAGTGTCTTTATACACTAATGTGATGAATGGAGGACAGTGGACAGGGAAACAAGCAAACACTTGGTCCGAACAAAAAGTCATCACCAGCTCTTCTTCCCCTCTTAATCCCAAACCCAGAGGTAGTCTGTAATTATCCCACAAGTCTGCAGAGTGAGAACGAAATGAGGAAGGAAACAGTCCCACAAGAGGTGACAGTGCATGCATCTCGGGATATCTTAGCAAAATTTTTGGATCTGCCACTTCCATTCTCCCAAAAGTAAGCGTGACCGTTCTCAGGAAAGGTTGCCTCTTTGTGAATATGAATGCTGAGCACAAAGGGTTCCACTCCTCCGTGGAGGCTTCGAGATACTCTCATCCTTTATCAGGCATTTATTTCATTCATAGAGAGAAAAACGAGTAGGAAATTTAATCCAAGGCAACTATTTACAGTAGCACTCACAATGCTTGGAAGCGGGGTTTGAAAGCACTTGCTAATGATCTCCTGTCACTCAAAACCAATCTTGAAACAACTATCATTGCCATTTGGATCACTGCACGAAAAGAACAACAAACCTTGAAGTCTCAAATGAGATCAAGTCTCAAATGAAACCAAATCTGGATTTCTGTTGCTCGCCTGAGAAATGTTTGCATTGTGGGTTTGATCCACACAAGGACCCTTTGGGAGGATTTCAATATCGTACAGTCTTTGTTTTTTAGAGACATAATATTGAAGCTGTTGGCAGTGCAGAATGACACAAATGGACAAACAAAAAGTGAGGAAAAGTGGCAAAGCTGAAGGTCTGCGGGAGCGTTACTCTGAGAAAAACACTTCCTTTGAGAAGTTTCAACATTTCTTGCAGCTCATCCTACTCGCTCAGCTATTCCTCAAGCAGGTCAGCACTCTCACACAGCTGCAAGGCATCTGCTCATCTTCTTTTTATCTCCAAAGTACCCCAGCCCTTGAGTGAGCAGTGGGTGGGAAGGAAGGGGAGGATGCTGGTCAGAAAGCTGGGGGCACTGCTCCTGCTTTGGGGTGAGGGAGCATGAGGTTTGTGTCTGCTGCTCCTGGGACCCCACCTTGAGGCTTCTCCAAGCAGTAAGGGCAGATGCAGAGCTTCCAGAGACTTCATTGGCACTTGTTACCCAGTCCAGCAGGATACAAGGCCAACAAAATGACATGACTCGTCACGTCACCCAGTGGGAGGATCAGACCCAAACGTCCGATATATAGCAGTGCTCTGTCTGCATGGCTCTACAGTGAGTCCAGTTGTCTTTCAGCTTAATTGTCAGCATACAGCAGGAGAACATATCCAGGATGAAACTGGCACTGCTGACAGTGCTGGCCATGCTGGCAGTGTTCTGCCATCCTGGTAAGTACCACTGGCTTTAATCAACCTCTAAACGATTTGTACAGCTCTTCACAATGTGAAAACATAATTTACAGTCAAAGGATCATTCTTCCTAATGAAAACATAATTTACAGTCAAAGGATCACTCCTCCTAATTGTTTCTTATTTGCTCTTCAGCTGTTCTTATCGTGCACCTCTATTTTCCATCAGGACTGAGGACTTCTGAGCAAACAAGGCAGAGATGGCACTGCCAGGGGGTCAGGGATGCTGGGCTTCCCACAGAATACAGCACTATGACACACCATGTCCAACTGTCCCCATTACACTGCCTGCACGGTGAAGAGTTCAGAGGCTGGAAGCACTTCAGCAGCAAAATACACCATATGAACATATGCATGTGCATATTTTATTTTTGTGTTCAAGAATAGTTTGTTTCAATGAGATGGGTTAATTTTCATGTTCTCCAGCTTGGCTCGTTTATACTTCCATTTCAGCTGCAGCTTCACCTTGTGAACTCCTCCAGAAAATAGCAGAAAGGTTTCTCTTTGGATCTGTTGATGAATATATGGATGCAGTATCGCCATTCATCACAACACCTGCTATGAATGCGATGGAAAGCAGTTTGAAGAAGTGTGTGCAGGCTTCTGTCACAGACAAACAGGCTCTTGCGCTACTGCTGGTGAGTTCCCCCTCCCCACTTGCAAAATATTACATGAGATTCAAAATGCAAGAATGTTAAGTGAAGGAAGTTTGTGCTACTTCTAAAGCTGACCCCTCTAAGCTTGGTTTGTGAAGGAAATGATGGTGCCATGCACACTCCAGAGGAAAAGTGTATGTGCTGCATAATGAACAAGCACTTTAAATGCCTTGTCTGGTCTTGGCCAAATCTGAGACTGCAAAGCCGAGGTCTCAACAGATGCTCTGTTTCTAGGCGTTTCAGAGGAAATAAACCTTGCAAAGGCTTGCAAAGAAAATCTTCAGGGCAGATTCCAATACCTGAGGACCCAAGTCAGGACTTAACCATGAGGAACTGGTTCTGGCTCCCAAGCTTTGGGTCTTTCCCAAAATGGCTATGAGCACACAGACCCCCGTGTTGCCCTTTCTTTGGCTAGTGGCAATTTGCTGTGTTTTCCCAGGAAATCCGAATGCTCACCACCAGGAAGGTTCAGCCCACTTCAGCTTCAGTGGACGTTTAAAAGGACACTTCGCATTACCAATCTTTTCCTAAACACTGTTTGGCTTCTTTTTTTCATTTTAGACTCAGATATTTGGCAACTGCTGAAGACGACACAAACCTGCAATCGTCGAGAAGCCAGCGAGAAACCAAAGCTCGCAGAATGAATGATCGAATCATCGAATGGTCTGGGTTAAAAAGGACCTCCAAGATCATCCAGTTTCAGCCCCCTGCCACGGGCAGGGTTGCAAGATCTGCTGCTATCTGCCTGTCCCCAACAACTACTCCCTGAGTACTTTCTTCTCTCTCATCCCGCAGTCACTATAAGGAACCTCCTCTCAATTCACCTTTCAATAAACTCAATGCGATTCAGCCCTTCGTTCCTCCTTCAGCGTTTGCTTTCGGGAAACGATCTAGCCAGACCCCCGTCGTTACAGGGGAGTTGGACCGGGTGACCTTTAAAGGCTGCTGCCATTCGCACAACCCTCTGGCCCCGCGCCGCTCGCTCCCGCAGCTCAGGGGCGGTACCGGCCCGCGCCCGCGCTCCGCCTCTGCCCGGCGCAGTGCCGGTCACGTGGTGTCAGGGCGGCTGCCCCCCCCGGCCGGTCCGGCCAGCGGCGAGCCGCGGTGATGGAGGCGGGAGCTGCCGCCGAGACGGAGCCGCTGCTGCCCCCGCGGAGCTGGCGGGCGGCGGGGGGCGGTGAGTGCGTGGCGGAGGCGGCTTTCCGCCTCGCGCTGCCCCGGCTCAGCGCGGGTTGCTTCCGCTGTTGCAGAGGCTTCCTAGAGTGCCGCGTCTCGCGTCCGGCTTGGGTCGACCTCTGTGTCCTTTATGAGGAGGAGCGGTGCGGTGCGGTGCTGCTGCTGTTGGCTCTTAGCCCCGCGGCGTGCAGCGAGTCATTCTTTCTTTCTTTCTAACTTTGCAGCCGCCGGAGCTGCCGAGGACCTCCGCATCGACCAGGCCGTGGTGTTTATCGAGGACGCGATACAAGTAAGTCCGACCCGGCTGTGCGACACGGTGCTGTCACCTGGCGCTGCCGTGCTCCGCAAAGCCGGCTCGGAACCCCAGATCCCTGCGGTACCTCAGTTCCAGTGCGCTTCTGCCCAGAAGAAATGTGTTTTGTTTTGTTTTTTTTTTTTTCCAATGCAATTATGTTGAAATAGCGCCTTCTCTTCCCGTTTGCCCAGCAGGCGCTGACTGTGCTGCTTTGTGGGTGGATGTGCCTTTTTTTTTTTTTAATTTTAAGCTAGCATCTGGGCAGAACTGTGATTTGCCTCAAAACATGGTTACGGAGCTTCAGAGCTGGCAAACTTTGAGGTTGGTTTCAATGGAAAAGCTGGAACTGTTTGCTTGAGCAGCACTGACAGTGTGTCTCCATTCCCCTTGTGTAGAGGTGTAGGTCGAAGCTTCTATTTTCACAGTTGCATGCATCATATGGCTTTTTAGAGGGAAGAAGCAAAAGATCCGTGAATGGAAGGAGTGCTGGAGAGGTGAACCAAGTGTATGGGCCTCTTTGGCAAGCAGGTGGAACCTTAAGTTGTGAGCTGCTCCATTTGCTGTTACGTGTAGCAAGGGCAGTGCTGCCACATTGGTTATCCAATAACAGAGCGATCCTTAGGTTGAGAAAACCTCAGTAGAATCTTTCCCATTGCGCCCACATTGGCTGTAGTCAAGGCGTAGTCATTGCTGAGTGCTAGTTTAATAATAACTCATGCAGTAATTTCTTTATCTTCTTGTGAAATTGGGTTTGTCTCAAGCCTTGTTGATGAAGGTATGGTTTATTTTTGTAACCTTATTTTTGTCTTTGATGCAGACCATGTTCAGTGATCTTTTTTTTTGCTTTCTCCCTACAGTATCGATCCATAAATCACCGTGTGGACTCTAAATCACTGTGGCTGTATCGCTGGTATTATTCAAGAATTTGCCAGTGGTGAGAACTTGTTATTGTTTGTGCTTTTTGGGTCAGGAGTAAGTCTTAGTCTTTTTTTCTTCTTTTTTTTAAAAAGTACTTAAATAATTGTCCTTTTATTCTTTAGAACACACTGTAGGAAGCAAGCAGTGAGTACATGTAGATGAGATAGGAGTGGAAAGCAGCAAGGTGTACGAAAATGTGGTGAAGAAGAGCATGAGCTTTTTAACAGGGTCTGTTGTGATAGGACAAAGGAAAATGGTTATGAACTACAAAGGGGGGAAATTTAGACTGAATGTAAGGAAGTAGTTTTTTACAATAAAGGTGGTGCAGCACTGGCACACAGGTTGCTCAGAGAGGTGATTGATGCACCATCCCTGGAGATGCTCAGAGTCAGGCAGGATGGGGCTCTGAGCACCCTCATCTGTCTGTAGGTGTCCCTGTCCATTGCAGGGGAGTTGGACCAGATAGGCTCTAAGGGTCCCTTCCAACTCATCATTTCACAAAGTCTATGGCTCTCTGGAACAGTCATAGGACTGCTGCATGATGGATTATTGGTACGATGCCCAGCAGTGTGTGTTAGTTCTCTGAATATCAATTTCTAACCTTATTAAATACTAGCAGGGCTGTTTGTTGTTGTTAGCTTCAAAACCACCCCACCTAGGGCTATATGAATGTCAGCGGTTGCTGTTGTAATGCGTTGTCGTTACTACAACCTTACTGCAGTTCATGTAAATCATGCTATTCAGGTGCTGCATTGCGAGTGCTTTCATTTCTCCCCGAGCAGGATTTTGAGCTTCACCATTACCATAATCCTGGCGTTGGCTTTCATTGAAACACCCTCCTCGCTTACTGTCACATCAGATGTGAGGTACCGCCTTCCTGCGTGGGATCCTCCGTGCGGCCTGACCGAAAGCATTGAGCTGCTGTGCTTCCTGGTCTTTGTGATCGATGTGTCTGTGAAGGTGAGCAGCGCTTCCACCTGGCTCTGAGTGAATGGCTTTGGCTTGGCTGCTTGTTTGAGACTGTAGAAGTTGGGCTTTGTAATAAACAGAGCTGTTCTTTGGATCCTTGTTTCAGAATGACTTCGCTGAATGAACTTCTTGCCACGCGTGGCCTGTGTGCCCCTGTCTGTTCCATTGATGTCAGTTAAAGACTTGTAGGAAAATTCTGTTATCGGTGCATTCTTATAGATTGCAGGGAGCTCTTTATAAAGAGCACAATTGTAAACCTGGAGATACTTGAAAAGCAATCGGTGCTGACTTCATTAGGGTGCTGGAATTTGTTTTAAGTTATTGTGCTGCTTTTTTTTCTTTTTCCTCCCCCAGAGTTACTTAATTGGATGGGAAGAATTTTGGAAAAATAAATGGCTGATGGCTTATATCCTGACGTTAATTATTTCCCTTACTGATTGGGTTGTGTCGCTGAGCTTTTTCTGCACAGAGGTAAGACGTGCTTGCTGCTTTCTGCAGAAACTGTGCAGTGTGTCTGGGCAGTGAGGCAAGGAGGAGAAGCTGCAGAGGGATGCACAGCAGGGGCTGTGTGATGCCTTGGAGAGCTAAGGGAAGGGGTGAGATGGGTCACATTGGATCAAATTTATTGTTGCTTGCTTGCAGTCAGCATTAAGAAAATGCTAATATGGTAAAAATACTGAGATGTAGACAGCTTAATTGCTTTTGGGTATGTTAAGGAATATCAGAACAATTGCCTTGTCAGAGGCAGAAATTGCTGGGTAATAAGCAGACCGTAGTACGTTAAAAAAAGCTGAAAACTGAAACCAAACCCTAATTTCAAGATGTGTGTCTATTTTTAATGAAAGCAGCTTGTTATTGATTCACTTCTTGAAATGGATCTTGGCAAAAAATGCAGAAATGCAATCACTTGACCTGTTTGTCATGTTTACCCAGCAGTAAAGTTAGGTTTCTTTAAAAATGCAAGTTGAAATTTCAATAGCCTCACCAGACCATTAATTATAAACAGTTTTTCTTTTAAAAGGAAGTCTGTAGAGTTTCCTTTAGGCCTTTTTTGACCTTGGTGGGACAGATTTAGCTTCTGAGAACAGCCTTTTATGCTGCACTGATTTTTTTTTTTTTTTTTTCTTCTGTTTTATATATATATTTAGATCTGTTTTGACAAACATGCACTTAAGACTAGGACCACAAATACTTCATGGGAGCTCAGTGTCTGATCCACTGTTTTGTTTTGCAGACTGTAAGAATAAGAAGAATTCTTCGTCCTTTCTTTCTCCTTCAGAATTCTTCGATGATGAAGAAAACATTGAAAAGTATCAACAGCACATTGCCTGAAATGGCAAGGTAGGTAACAGCACAGAAAGCATCCCTTCACAGCAAGTCTGTAGCAACCCTTTGCACTTGGAGTGTGATGCCTCAGTAGCCTTCTTGAAATGATCTCTGAGATCAAGTAGTGATGGATGGGAAGCTGTAGTAATCCTGTGGCTCCTGTATTCTGTAATAGTTCTCAAGAATGCATGTGATGTGACAAGGAGGATTTTTTTGATGCTGATCGAATGGTTTTCATTTTTTTTTTTTTTTTTTTTCCCCTTTTGTTATTCTGTTGAGTCCAGCCCTTTTGTAAGGGAAGAGCTGAGTCATCAGCTGGGCAAAGGGCTGTGCCATATTACTGTAATGTTTCCTCTAGGGGCGGTATGGGTAAGGCACAAAGGTGTCCCTCTCCCGTGAATACCACACAGCAAGGTACTTTGTGTTCTTTTCAGGATGCTTTAAGTCAGGCTTTTCATTTCTAAACGGTTTTAGAAAAACATGCTAGGATCTCTTTGACCTTAGAACTGCCTAAGCTCATGCTAAGGAGTTCTGAAGAAGTGTGATTCTTAGGAATCAAAGCTTGGATGGTCTTCTGTTAGCTCCATGTAGTTTCTTAAAAAATATCCTTGGCTATTTGTGTATCTCTAGCAAAGGACATGAAGGATGACGTTGATATTAATGCACATGATGTGTTCTTTCCAATAGTGTTGTTCTACTGCTCGCTGTTCATCTGTCTCTCTTTACCATGTTTGCCATGCTGCTGTTTGCTCGAACAAAGGTAACCAGCTGTATTGGTGTGTAGATCTCACTGCTTTTCTGCTTACTCGCGTAGCTGCATGTCTGGTTTTCTAATCAAACTGGTGAAACTTGTTTCCCTGGGAGAGACCCACTGGGATGAGTTTGAAGTCTATTTAGAGAGATGTAAGTTGCACAGAATACTTTCTTTTTTTTTTTTTATGGTCCCATACTTCTTGGTGCTGATGCTTTTCTCACAAGTTGAAGTCTGCTAGTAGAGCAGCTTCAAGAAGCTTGAAGTCTGCTAGTAGAGCAGCTTCTTAGAATTCTCCAGTCGATCTTTTACCTTACTTTTCTGCTTTTGTTGAAACCACCTGTGCTGTTCTGTGTCCATAGCTCTTAATCATGGTGTTTTCTGTTTCTATTATCTCACATTTCTTTTTTTTCTTTTTTCTTTCCTTATCTAGCTTTTAGTTAAGTTTACTGCAATGTTAAGCTATCTGCAGTACTGGTATCCCTGGTCTTGCCTTGGTAGGTTTTTGCCTGCATTTTTCTGATGTTTTGGCTTCTGATTTTTGTGGCTTCCTTTTTATTTTTGTTTTGTTTCTCTTCTCACTTCCCGAAAGCTTATTTGAAGTGTGATTGAAGTCACTTTTATGTTCAAGTGCTTTTGGGGTGTCCTTTCTCCTAAGCTTCCTGTATCTTTATGTATCCTTCTTTGTACTGCACTCCTTTCCATCTATAAGGCCTTCCACAGCCTTGTTTGTATGATCACTAGGACTTGTTATGTACTTTTTGCAGTAATCTTAGTTCTTTTCTTAATCTTTACTGAGCCTTCATTCCTCCTGCAGTTTGTTCTTGAGCTTCTGGTCTTTCTTACGATCAGCAAATTCCTTGAATTCCTGTTACAGAATTTCTGGAATTACAAGTAGAGCTCTATTTTTCCCTTTTCTTAGTTGAATCCAATATCTCTGTATTATATTTCCATGTCACCTGTAATTTCGGTTGTAATCTTTCCCAGCAGAGGGGAATACATTTTATATACATGCACCAGGCACTTCAAAATAAACTTAAGTTTAAAAAAAAAAAAAGAGAGAGAGAGCTATTTATTTTTCCTTTTCAGATTCTCTGACCTGATACCCATACATACTAATTTTAGCTAACCAGGCAGTGTGCTCAAAGGATGTGTTAGCAATAAAATTCTGGCCTCTAGATTTGCACATTGCCTTGCATATATGCCCTAGAGGTGCAGTTTTCCATTCTTCTCAGCAGAGTTAATGGCTGTTTATTCTGTAGTGTGTGATTCACGTTCGTATTGTTTGCACTCTGCATCTTTTGTAGCTGTCTCTACTTGAACTTGGGGAAAAAACAAGTGGGTACAGCATTGTATAGCTAGAATAAAAAGTAAGCAGCTCCAGTTTTCTGCTTGATTTTTATGTGAATTCGGATTGAATATGGGAACAGTCTGTGATATGTTTTATTTAGGTCGTGTTTAGAGTTCTTCTTGCTCTGGTACCCTTGGCGTCTCTCATTTGGCTTTTTCTATCAATCAAAGGCAGCTTTAGATCCCCATGCTGTCTGCTCATGTCTTTATGGTCCCCACTGGATTTGAGGTGATGGATGGAACTTTTGTTTGGAGCCTCCTGTCTCTCTCAGCTTGCTGTTTTCCCTTATGTTCTTTATTGACTGTGAATAAGTGGTTGCACTGTATTCCTGCAGGAACACTACGTTGTCCTAGTTTTTATGCTTGTCTTGTGTTTTCTTCCATGTGGCAGATCTAATTGTGTGCATAAGGAATGGATTATTGACTAAAACTATCTGTGTATGTATCATTTTCTTGGTGAGTCAGTCTTAGTGATTCTAAGTGCTTCTCTGATAACAGTGAGCTTTTTTCACTAGGATGGTCAACAGGATAAGGAGTGGGTGGGTTACTTTCGGAATTTGCCAGATTCCCTGACATCACTGCTGGTCCTGCTGACTACAGCAAATAACCCTGATGGTGAGCACTCCGTTTCAGAAATAACTCTTGTCTGTATTAATCAATGAACAGTGAAATATTGTCAGATTGCTGTAATTGTTCTTGCAGCTGAAAGCGCTTAGGAAGGTTCTGCAAAGATGATTTGTGCATGAAGTTACTCAGGTTTTTTTGTATTTCTGTGCTTTAGTTTATATACACAGCTCTGAAGTGGAGCTGTATGAAAGCTTTTACCAATTGTCCAAAATTGACAGAGATCTCCTTTATTATTTTTTTTTATCCTCTTAAATATGAAATTAATAATATATATTTTTTTAAATTAAATCTGTTGCAGTAATGATTCCTGCTTATTCTAAGAACCGAGCATATTCCATCTTCTTCATACTCTTCACTGTATTAGGTAAGTCATTGCTTGTCTTTATTAACTTAAATGGAGTGCAGCTTTGGCACTGATGCATGCCAGCTGGAAAGGCGTTTATTTTTCTCAGAGAGTTTCATCACCCCCGTCTCCCTCCATTCCTCACTCCATCACTGCTCCCTCGAAGAGCCCTGTCCCATCACCAGCACCAGAAGAACAGAACTCCCAGCTGGGGACAAGGAGAGCGCTGCTTTCCACTCCCACAGCTCTGCTGCATGCAATGATTTCAAAAACAAATTCAGGAGCAGCGGCACGAGGAGCCCAGGCATAAAACTAAAGCCTCACAGGGTTTTGTTATCACAACACCACACTGTTAAGTGTCCTAAGCAATCTTTTTTTAAGGAAAACAAGTCTTTAGAAACAGAGGTGACCCCAGAAGTGATAAGTGAAGAGGTGCACCTGAAAGTCTGTTATCAGCTATTTGTGCCTGGCTCTGCCTCAGATATGGCACGGCGTGGCATATATATGGAAATGCTCAGGATTTGTCCTGCACAGAGCCAAAAAATATCTTCCTTGGAGAAGGAAAGGAGAACTCTCAGGTGTTCCTGTGCCACTGTTGTTTCCTGCTTATTTTTCAGACACATTTGGCTCCCCAGCACCTGTGTCTGGGGGGAGGAACCATACATTTGAGGTCACTGGGTTGTCCTGAGCAGCCCCAGGCAGAACTGCTGCTTTTCCCCAATTCCTGCATTTCCATGGCCAAAAATGAGGCGGAGAAAAGAATCCTCCATATGTGCCTTGCCAAACACTCACAGATGCAAGCAAAGATGGCAGCTCCCTCTCTGCAGTACCTTCTCCCTGTTCTTTTCATGGTGTTGGGAGCCTTCTTTGGTATCAGATGCCGAGTGTGTGTTTGCTGTTTATGTGCAGGGAGGCTGGAGCTCCTATTTCAGTGCATGGAAGGGAAATGGAAGAGTAGTCATATGTGCTGATTGCTAATTTGAATAGACTTTTACTTTAGCTGCAACTCTGGCAGGTCCACCTTTGAATATCAAGCAAGGGCACGTCATGTCGGCTAGTCTTTGTTTCTTTGCAGTGCTGCCCTATGGTTTGGGAGCTCGGATGCCATGCCATATAGTGCCATACCATGCTGTGCCCTAAGCCATATATGCCATGCCATGCCATATATGGCATAGGGCACAGCACGGTACAGCACGCCACGCCGTGCCATATATATGCCACGCCGTGCCATATATATGCCACGCCGTGCCATATATATGCCACGCCGTGCCATATATATGCCACGCCGTGCCATATATATGCCACGCCGTGCCATATATATGCCACGCCGTGCCATATATATGCCACGCCGTGCCATATATATGCCACGCCGTGCCATATATATGCCACGCCGTGCCATATATATGCCACGCCGTGCCATATATATGCCACGCCGTGCCATATATATGCCACGCCGTGCCATATATATGCCACGCCGTGCCATATATATGCCACGCCGTGCCATATATATGCCACGCCGTGCCATATATATGCCACGCCGTGCCATATATATGCCACGCCGTGCCATATATATGCCACGCCGTGCCATATATATGCCACGCCGTGCCATATATATGCCACGCCGTGCCATATATATGCCACGCCGTGCCATATATATGCCACGCCGTGCCATATATATGCCACGCCGTGCCATATATATGCCACGCCGTGCCATATATATGCCACGCCGTGCCATATATATGCCACGCCGTGCCATATATATGCCACGCCGTGCCATATATATGCCACGCCGTGCCATATATATGCCACGCCGTGCCATATATATGCCACGCCGTGCCATATATATGCCACGCCGTGCCATATATATGCCACGCCGTGCCATATATATGCCACGCCGTGCCATATATATGCCACGCCGTGCCATATATATGCCACGCCGTGCCATATATATGCCACGCCGTGCCATATATATGCCACGCCGTGCCATATATATGCCACGCCGTGCCATATATATGCCACGCCGTGCCATATATATGCCACGCCGTGCCATATATATGCCACGCCGTGCCATATATATGCCACGCCGTGCCATATATATGCCACGCCGTGCCATATATATGCCACGCCGTGCCATATATATGCCACGCCGTGCCATATATATGCCACGCCGTGCCATATATATGCCACGCCGTGCCATATATATGCCACGCCGTGCCATATATATGCCACGCCGTGCCATATATATGCCACGCCGTGCCATATATATGCCACGCCGTGCCATATATATGCCACGCCGTGCCATATATATGCCACGCCGTGCCATATATATGCCACGCCGTGCCATATATATGCCACGCCGTGCCATATATATGCCACGCCGTGCCATATATATGCCACGCCGTGCCATATATATGCCACGCCGTGCCATATATATGCCACGCCGTGCCATATATATGCCACGCCGTGCCATATATATGCCACGCCGTGCCATATATATGCCACGCCGTGCCATATATATGCCACGCCGTGCCATATATATGCCACGCCGTGCCATATATATGCCACGCCGTGCCATATATATGCCACGCCGTGCCATATATATGCCACGCCGTGCCATATATATGCCACGCCGTGCCATATATATGCCACGCCGTGCCATATATATGCCACGCCGTGCCATATATATGCCACGCCGTGCCATATATATGCCACGCCGTGCCATATATATGCCACGCCGTGCCATATATATGCCACGCCGTGCCATATATATGCCACGCCGTGCCATATATATGCCACGCCGTGCCATATATATGCCACGCCGTGCCATATATATGCCACGCCGTGCCATATATATGCCACGCCGTGCCATATATATGCCACGCCGTGCCATATATATGCCACGCCGTGCCATATATATGCCACGCCGTGCCATATATATGCCACGCCGTGCCATATATATGCCACGCCGTGCCATATATATGCCACGCCGTGCCATATATATGCCACGCCGTGCCATATATATGCCACGCCGTGCCATATATATGCCACGCCGTGCCATATATATGCCACGCCGTGCCATATATATGCCACGCCGTGCCATATATATGCCACGCCGTGCCATATATATGCCACGCCGTGCCATATATATGCCACGCCGTGCCATATATATGCCACGCCGTGCCATATATATGCCACGCCGTGCCATATATATGCCACGCCGTGCCATATATATGCCACGCCGTGCCATATATATGCCACGCCGTGCCATATATATGCCACGCCGTGCCATATATATGCCACGCCGTGCCATATATATGCCACGCCGTGCCATATATATGCCACGCCGTGCCATATATATGCCACGCCGTGCCATATATATGCCACGCCGTGCCATATATATGCCACGCCGTGCCATATATATGCCACGCCGTGCCATATATATGCCACGCCGTGCCATATATATGCCACGCCGTGCCATATATATGCCACGCCGTGCCATATATATGCCACGCCGTGCCATATATATGCCACGCCGTGCCATATATATGCCACGCCGTGCCATATATATGCCACGCCGTGCCATATATATGCCACGCCGTGCCATATATATGCCACGCCGTGCCATATATATGCCACGCCGTGCCATATATATGCCACGCCGTGCCATATATATGCCACGCCGTGCCATATATATGCCACGCCGTGCCATATATATGCCACGCCGTGCCATATATATGCCACGCCGTGCCATATATATGCCACGCCGTGCCATATATATGCCACGCCGTGCCATATATATGCCACGCCGTGCCATATATATGCCACGCCGTGCCATATATATGCCACGCCGTGCCATATATATGCCACGCCGTGCCATATATATGCCACGCCGTGCCATATATATGCCACGCCGTGCCATATATATGCCACGCCGTGCCATATATATGCCACGCCGTGCCATATATATGCCACGCCGTGCCATATATATGCCACGCCGTGCCATATATATGCCACGCCGTGCCATATATATGCCACGCCGTGCCATATATATGCCACGCCGTGCCATATATATGCCACGCCGTGCCATATATATGCCACGCCGTGCCATATATATGCCACGCCGTGCCATATATATGCCACGCCGTGCCATATATATGCCACGCCGTGCCATATATATGCCACGCCGTGCCATATATATGCCACGCCGTGCCATATATATGCCACGCCGTGCCATATATATGCCACGCCGTGCCATATATATGCCACGCCGTGCCATATATATGCCACGCCGTGCCATATATATGCCACGCCGTGCCATATATATGCCACGCCGTGCCATATATATGCCACGCCGTGCCATATATATGCCACGCCGTGCCATATATATGCCACGCCGTGCCATATATATGCCACGCCGTGCCATATATATGCCACGCCGTGCCATATATATGCCACGCCGTGCCATATATATGCCACGCCGTGCCATATATATGCCACGCCGTGCCATATATATGCCACGCCGTGCCATATATATGCCACGCCGTGCCATATATATGCCACGCCGTGCCATATATATGCCACGCCGTGCCATATATATGCCACGCCGTGCCATATATATGCCACGCCGTGCCATATATATGCCACGCCGTGCCATATATATGCCACGCCGTGCCATATATATGCCACGCCGTGCCATATATATGCCACGCCGTGCCATATATATGCCACGCCGTGCCATATATATGCCACGCCGTGCCATATATATGCCACGCCGTGCCATATATATGCCACGCCGTGCCATATATATGCCACGCCGTGCCATATATATGCCACGCCGTGCCATATATATGCCACGCCGTGCCATATATATGCCACGCCGTGCCATATATATGCCACGCCGTGCCATATATATGCCACGCCGTGCCATATATATGCCACGCCGTGCCATATATATGCCACGCCGTGCCATATATATGCCACGCCGTGCCATATATATGCCACGCCGTGCCATATATATGCCA